ACGGTAAATTCTAGCGAGAAAATTTGAACTCGTTTCTTTGATATAAATTTCCCTACCCATAACTCTTAACATGTTCTCACGTGGATTACATAAAAGAAAAAATAAGTAGTACAAGAAACAATAACTTCCTGCTTAAAATAAATACATATTAAGTCCTACATATTGCCTGTGTTACAACATATGCATTTTAAGTTGACCTACCTGAATATCCCCTTCTTTAATAATATGCATACTATACATATAATTCGAATCACTAATATGTAAATGAGCCAAACAATTTAAATATAACTGCACCTCTCTGTTATGAAGATCTTTTATACACGTCGTTGAACTTGAGATTATTTCATATGCTGTTTCATTATATTTTTACAGTTTTATTTTCATTAGGTTTAATTCTTGTATACTTTAAATTTAACTCAGTTATGTGCCATGCGTGATACACGCTTAGGCGATCATGTATTTTTTGATACATGACTGACGAGGCAGATTTTTCCCGTAGTAGGTTGTCATTTCTTTCTGAAGTAGACCACTTGTCATCCAAGGCCATAGATGGGAGAAGAAGGAGAGAATTCATACCTTTTCCAAGGGTATTAGAATGTAAGTGAATGTAATGGTCTCGACTGGAATTCGAACTCGGCTTCCCGATTCCTCAATCCGAGCCGTTACACATTACTCCACCGTGCCTCCAATTTTCACTAGTGTTCAGTACTGTTTCATTATCATTAGAGTTAAGTTTTGTATTGTTTCATTTTATCAGAGTTAATTTGTGTTCTGTTTCTTTTTCATCAGAGTTAAATTTTGTAATGCTTCCTTTTCATTAATTTTTTACTCAATTCTTTTGTTGCATAAAATCAACACATGATTTCCATGATATTTTATTCAGTTGCAATTGTTCCATCGTTTTATATCCATACCAAATGTCGTTCATACCATTCATTAATCTTTGTGGGATTAATTCTTATTCTATAAACATTTCTTCTTGTCAAAGTCTTTGTAATTTGCAGCATCTGCTTGCATCTGCTTGCATCTCTTAACCGATTGAATAAATAATCTTTCTTTTGACTTGATATTTTTCTTATATGTTATTGATGGAATTCTCAAGATTTTTTCATATCCTGTTGTCGTTGAAATTAAATCGGTCACTTGCATTCCATCTTTATCTACTCTGTTGCCTTTAAATCCTTTGATCTAGAATTTGGCTGCGAAAATAACGTAACCTCTTTTCCAAAAAGTCACGTTCATCCATTTGTAATGAATGTCCTACCGGCAACGACATTATAGGGAAGTGTGTAATTCAAGGATTCCTACTTGAAAGTATCTCCCTCAGTAGTTGAAGGACTATATGAACAAGTTTATGCACTCATATATAAATGAGACGACGTATTTCAATATGGCTTCAGCTGACATGAAGTAAACATTTTTTTTTATAAGACTGACATCATACAGTTGATTATAATGACAGAAACGGTCAAAGATATTCGAACAAAAATATTCACTGGACAGTTACTCCACAAATCTGATCCAGATGGGCAACAACTTATTCGAAAATTGGAAAAGTAAAATAAGAAAATGAAAGAAACACAACCGGTCTGTTCAATTTAATAGAACTTGTTTGAGTGAGTTGTTACTGCTTAAATATATGTGAATTAAAGAAAACAAAATAAAAACTATTATTTTTTTACTCACTGTTCACCCAATATAAGGTCCAAAGTTTATTGAATGGGGTTGTTGTATCGACGTAAGAGGAAGAAGTGAGTGTAGATTATCGGATAGGCAGGATACACAACGCTTAACTCTAGACATGAGATTAATCTTGTATTGATCCGAGAATCATTCTCACGGGTGTTTGTTTGAAAAAAGTATCAGTTCTCGAGAAGAAGTCACTTAAATGGAAGTTCCTTCTTAGCAATGGAATGCGAAAAAGGTGAGAAAAATCCGACTGCATACACGGCATAAGAAGGTCTGAAATAGTGAAACTAGAAGAATGTAACTCCGCGCAAACGCTTTAGAATCCTTAATAAGAAAAATCAATACTAGCAATAAGGTTCCATTCAATTTAAGAATAAATTTAATAAATATATTTCAAAACTAATACCAAAAAGTGATAACGGCATAAAAATCTGACGTGTGAAGATGTGAAACATAAGAAAAAAAAATGCATAAAACCAACCGAGGTCGGAAGAGGCAATAATTTAAAAACTAGCGAATAAGTAAAATGCTTATACGTAGGCACAATCCTACCAACTTAAAAATATCTTTGATAATGGCTTATTAAAGTTGAAATCACTGACAAGTCACTGGAAAATTTATTATCAAAATTTCCCCGGAAACAAGAAAAATGTTCTGAAGCGTGAACAAATTGAATAAATAAAACTTAAACAAAGACATTCCGCTGGTCATCAGCCAAAAGTCTATAAATGAAAGGTTGCTGTCCAAACAGAGCCATATATCTATATCTATCTATCTGTCTATCTCTCTATCTCTCTCTCTCTCTCTCTCTCTCTCTCTCTATATATATATATATATATATATATATATATATATATATGTGTGTGTGTGTGCGCGCGCGTGTGTGTGTGTGTGTGTGTGTGTGTGTGTGTGTGCGTGCGCGCGCGTGTGTGTGTGTATGTATAAATTTATTTAGATTCCCAGCGTC